ATTGGTTTGAGATTTCCTTAACTTGAGTGGTCATGGTGGTAACTGTGTGAAACCTTTTGTCAATACTTGCTATTTATGTGATAGGTTGGAAGCATGTTTGTTAGTTGCGGTAAGACAATAGCTTCTGTTTTAATGCGCTTATCCGTTTTGGGGGAAGTTATGGTAATGGGGCAGATTTTCTTTGAGTTTTGGACTACTCTTCCGCCCATTCCCGTGATTTCAAATTTGGCATGTTTTGTTGGCAGTTTTAACCTATTTTGTGCCTTAGACGCTATAAATGATCGTTGTGATCCTTGGTCTATTCCAGCATGGAGCTTCTTGGCGATTTTCGGGATTTTATATTTCGTGATTTGCTGTTGTAATTAGCCCTTTTTACTATTTCCCCTTTCTGCTTTTTTATATTGGGTAGTTAGAAATTCTTTCATATGCTGCCACGTTGGTAACGATTTTTCTGGTAATGCGGCGGTGCATATGTTTACCAGTATAGGGTTCCAGCTGTCTGTAGGAATATTTTGTGTCGATAAAACCGACAAACAATTAGAAACAGTGGATTTTAGTCTAATAAATTCTTCACTTGTTTCTTTTTGAATTTTAGGCAAGTTCATTAGTATCGTTACTTGCTTATCGACCAATATGCTTTCATTTTTCGTATCTTGCTTTTAGAGCTTCCCAAGCCAGATTGAAACTATCGTCATTTAGTGCGAACTGTTTGACTATGACGTCTGCTTGACCTTTTGTTTTGTATCGGAGGTGATACAATTTTTGTGCATTTGATAATTTTGGGTGGTTTATGTAAACGGCTTGTCCCGGAAGGACGGCCATTGTTCATAACCACCATGTGGGCACCTTGAAATTGATGCCTGAATTTGACTCTTGACATTGAATTTGTGGCAGCTCTACTCTCGGATGTGGGGTAGGTGTAATTGCTTTAATTAATTTTATTTGATCCGAAATCATGGCTTTTGATTCTTCAAACTGGTCTACGCATTTTTCGTACTTGGCGTAAGCGGAGGATTTCAAATTTTCAGGTAGATCTGAGTCGTCAGATTCTACTATTGCGGCATATGCAGCTTGGAGACGTGTCCAGAAATTATCAAGATTTTCCTTTTTGATTTCTAATACCAATTCAGAATTGTCCTGAATCGGCGAAGGTGAAAATCGAGTACAGTACCGTATTAGACTGTCACTTTTAGAGATAAATTTGGTGTATGAAATATCTTTCACCCGTTTTTGTTTTGTATCACCTTGCTTTAAGCTTGTAGCTTCTGCAAGTGTACATGGACTCGTTTCTTCATTCCATTCATCATTTTAGGTACTTTTAGAGACTGTGTTGTTTTGGATTCTTTTGAATCTGAGCTCATTTAGAAAGTATTGAAATAAATTTAAAATTCCTCGGTGTCGACCGATGGAATTCAAGCTATAGGCTCGTATATAACGAAACTCTTTTAAGTAAATAGAGTGCGTTTTTTCGACAAAATTTATTTTAATTTCCGTATATGTGTATAACCGCAAACTCTTTTAGTTAATAAAAGTTTTTAATTCGAATTAAGTTTCTAAAATACGGTTTTTATAAATTACCAGTTTTTTATAATTACCGGTCGTATTTATTTTTTTAATTTATTAACGATCGCACATGTATTTATGTTCTTATCTAGGGGTATGTGGGTACACCCTAATGGGTGGACTTGTAGATATGTATTCATGTACTTGTGCAATTGAGAGCTCGTTAAAGAAATCAATGCATTTTTTACCTAGGTATACACGAATTATTGTGCGCAATCCTGCTTGTGTTTGTTTGCCAAAGAACAAGGGGTATTGCGGGATATTTTTATTTGAGTACTTTTTATATTATTGTTTTTAGCTTTCTTTTAGCAATTTTTTTTTGTATTATGGAATTATTTATTTATTTGTTGCTATGATTTAACCAAACCGTTTAATTAGTTTTAAAATAACCGATTTTTAAATGATTAAATTAAATAAAAATATGAATTTGTACCCACTATATATGGCGTATGTGAGCATAGGCAGATTGTATGCCATATGTACAAGTGTGAATATGTATGACTGTGCACGCGTGATATTTTTCGGAGTGAGAGAAGAGTGTGGAGAAAAAATAAAAATTGTAATACGCAGGCATTTTACCGACTGCGGTTATGTTAATATATTCTGATATAGTTATATATGTAAAAATATAAGTCAATGTTTAGTTATAACATCTATCGGTAAATGCAATTTGCATATTGTTTGCCGATTTGAATGCATTTTTGTCTTTTTGCTGTAGATGCTAGCTGTTATTGTTATTGTGCCTTTAGATTACTTATTGTTACGCAGTCTTGCTTATTGCTGTATTAAGCCTAAGGGGTACCACCGGAAATTCTTTGCAAGTAAATACTTGAATTTATACCTATATACAAATGTAAGTGCATAAGTTAAGGCAATCAATAATTTGTTAATACAATATATATATATACATGTAAATACATAAATATAAGTATATATGTATATAAGTATATTCACCAGATTTTTGTTTTTATGTATCGGTTTTTTGGAATTTTCCGTTAACGTTAGGAAAAATTATAAGTTATATATTTTCTGTTAACGTTTCCTGTACCCGTGGTTTTAAACTGTTAAAACGGATTTTCCTAGTTTTAATGGTATACAGGATTTACAAACATACATATATAATAAACAAAAAGATTAAAACGATACACTTACTTTATTTCGGCTCAAGAGGGCCCTTTTTTCCTTAACGCCAGCTGTTGCCTGTTGTGCAGCTCTCTCCCTGTGTTTTTGGCTCTATATACATATTTTGTTGTTAATACCGCGCCCGTTTTTGATTATTATTGTTTTTTTCGTTTTTGTATATTTTTGGGTTTCGCGCCGCGTTAAGATTTTTTCGGGTTTTGGTTTCGCGCCAGTTTGTTTTGGTGTTTAAGTATTTTTTTTATTTTATGTTTTTGTTTTTTGGCACATTTAATGTGTTTTGCCGCTTTTCCACTTTTATGTTATATATGAACGTGTATGTGTTCGAATATATAAGGTTGGCCGTTATTTCTCTTCCGCTTTTTTGTCTTTTGAATTTCGCGGCTATGTACAAAGCGCTACAGAGCTCGTATCTGGCAACACTATACATAATTTGAAAGGTCTTGACATAACCTACAAAACAACGCTATGCATGATTAGTTTGGATATTGCGTTCAACAGTTACAGACGTGTAAACATGGAGTTCACTAACGCCGAAATTCGCGCTATTTTAAAGTTTTCCTTCGTTAAAGGCAAATATATGTTCGGTCACTGAACTCCCAACTTCACTTTTCGCATATGTATGTGTATATATATATTACACTGCACTTTTTGGTTTTGGTTTTTGTTTTTTTTCAATAACTGTCAAATCACCTTTTTGGTAAATGCACCGGTTTTTTTTCACTGTTTGTTAATTTTTTGGCACATTATTTGTTGTTCATGTTACAATGTTTTGTTCATGTTATTTTAATATTTTTTTTCTTTAATGTTTAATAACCCATAGTGCCGTCCACTAGGGCTCGAAGGACCATAAATAATTAACTAATAAACTAATTTTAATTTCACTCACCGTTGGCAAAATTAGTTTATAACGAAAAAAAGGAGTTGATTTAGGCGGGTGCTCGAACCGAAGATCTGATCGTTAGCGAGTGGTAATGCGAAAAAGCGAGCGGGATCTCTTAGTCCCTTATATAGTATCTATTGATGTCTTCATGGTAGTGTGATCGTGGTGATGTTGTATATTGTGCGTGTTGGTGCATGGTGTAGTGGTGTGGAATGTATGGTAAGTAGGTGTGGTGATGACAGTGTCAAGAGGGGGGTGGAGTGGTCATTTAGCCAATAGGGTAATTATAAGAAGAATCTCAAAAGAACAATAAACTTTGCTTTACCCGAAAAGATAAATGAATAGTTTAATATAAGTCCCCCAACGAAGGAGGTCGTGAGAATGAAATTTCTTTTTAATCGTCTTATTTTGACGCGAAGATAAGAATTCCGTAAGCGGAAAGTAAACTTTTAAAAAAATGTATTTATATACACACAAAAATAAAAAATATAAAAATGTATTTTATAGCACACTTTGTACACATTTTTCAACTAACTCGTACACGTTAAAATCTATCCAAAATACGGATTTATAATGCGTTTTTGAAGAAAAAAGCTATATTTAAAAAATTAATGCGCACACCTTTACTGCAGTGGCTCTCTTCGGCCGTGTGCTTGTGCAAAAACTCTTGTCGTCCAACACCGGGGTGTCCATAGTTCTTTTGCGTCATGATACTTTCATGATTCCTGAAAAATAATGCCAAATATATTTACTTGCCTTTGACAAGAATATTTAATTCATCTCTTAAACACGGTGTATTTTCTTCAATATGGAAACAGACATTTATAATCCTTTTGCATAAAAGTGGATTTAGATCCAACATTGAAAACTGTTCTTATTGTTTATCAACGAAACCTCTCCTGCAATAGAATTCTCAAAAATTTTAAAATAGCGACGACGTAAAGCTTTTTAAATCATACACTTCAACTGATGAAAGGTGTCTGTTGCAAACAGGTTGCATGGTGTGATAGAAATGATTTGCCATTGAATCTCAATAAATGTAAGATGATATGCTTTTTCCGTAGATCTGTGCACCACTCTTCTTATATAATAAAACACCATATTCTAGTGGAAGTTTTTAACTTTGTTGATTTGGGAGTTACTATGGACACATAGCTTAACTTTAGTCTTCATATTGATACCATAGTCTTGAAAGCAAAAGCTGTCCTCAGTTTTGTTAAACGTTGGTTTAAAGAATTAAAAGATCCATATATTACTAAAAAAACTTTTTAAAACTTTGGTTAGACCTATATTGGAATATGACACTGTTGTATGGAACCCTACCTACCAAATCCATTCTGACAAGTTAGAGTCTGTTCAAAAACAATTTTTACTTTTCGCCTAAGGACATTTCATAGAATGGGATTCTAGGGTAAGTATACTTCCATACACTAGTCGTTTGAGACTTAAAAATCTTCATACAATTTTTAGTCGTAGGGGAATGGTTTTCCTAATATTCTTAGTGAAAATTGAATGGAACAGTTTGCAGTACTTTTTGCCTGTCTGAACCTGTCCTGTAAAACAAATTTCGAACTAAACGCATATGTCATGATTTTAATTCTCATTTCAGCACATTTGTTTTATCTGATTCACTTTTCAAAATTAAAGAGACTATATTGCTTTCTAGTAATAAATAAAAACGTAACAATTAATTAAATCTACAATAGTTAATTTGTTGGTAATTTGCACTAAGTACTCGCGAAATAAGGAACTAATGAACGACACTCTTGATTTATACGATTAACTCTACAATGTTGTAGTAATCGAAAATGACGGAAAACGCTCGGTTTGGGAAATTAATAAGCAAACGGCGTCGCGCAGGAAAACGTTGCAAAATGCAGAAAAACTCTGATGTCCGTATAGGCTCGATGATGGCGATCGAATAAAAGAGGCCCGTATCCAGTTGTCGATCCTTTTTGTTGATTGGGCAGAGTGGTGAGATCGTGTGTGTTGATATCTCTCAATGAGTTATGTGAAGTTGTATGTATTAAGGTGTAGTGTCTTCGGGAGTGGATGCTATTATTGTGGTGTGTTGGAGTGTATGAGTGGTGCTTGTGAAATGGTGTGTGGGGCTTGTAGAGGGATGTTCGCTGGGAAGGCTTATAGCTCATTTAGCCAATATCGTAACTTAAAATCATAGCTGTTGAAATGTTTGTTTCTGTAGCTGAGTAGTTTAGATCTCAACGCTTAAAAAACTCTCGCTTTTTCTGACACGACTAATTCCGCACGTATTCTTTGGTTTATTATTATAAGAGCAGCTCTCTTTGGCATCTGTGGTGGACTACGGCGAACTTCAACAATGACACTAAATGCCGTTCCACACATAGCACCCGTAGAGATAGCCGACTGATATATTGCTGCGCATGTCGCTGTAGGATTGCAGCTCGTTATATGGAAGTACCGGCAGCTGGGTATATGAAAGAATCCTAACAGGGACATCCTGCGTAGCAGAGTCTATTTCTTGTGGCTAGATGGAAGGTTAGACGGGGAGTTTTACATGCAAGATGTCTGTTGTTAAGGTGATAGTTGATGTTTTGCTCCCACATTTAGCGAGGTGAGCATTCATCACGACAGCAGAGCAGCTATATTAGCGTTGAGCTCAGTTAATGTGCGCTGAAAGCTAGTCAGTATCGATAATTTCAAGTTACTACACTCATTTGAGTGGCCATCGTAAAGGGCAAGTAGAGAAACTATCAAATGATCATTGCAAACAAAGCTACAGCTGAGAAGTGTCCATGGAGAAACGTCAAGACCGCCTAGGAGTTGAGTTTCTATTGACAGCCAAGATGACCGACTTTTGACCTGAAAATGGTGGCATATTGCTATTTTCTTTTAATTTATATAAAAGTTGTCCAAAAAATATTGATTATATGTAAAGCGTTTGTATTTTTTCAAAATAAAATAAGTTTATCTTAATATATATTCTTAAAAGAGCGACTATTATTGGCAAATTCCAGAATAATTATGATATATATTTATGTCTATTTTTAACTGTGGTAAATTAATAAATATTCCCCACAGAAAAATTAAAGATTCAATTAAGCAGCCATGTCAAATAAAGGGATCCACAACATTCTTACCTTTAGACAAGTTTTATAAATTTATACAAAAATAATAATTATATTAAAAACAATACTGAAAAAGAACTCACCTTTGTAAAAATAAGTCCATGTCAAAAATTTTCAAATTTGTTGCCAGTATTGGTATTGAGCATTGCGTAACAGTGCTGCGTAAGCTAGTTTTAAACTACTTTTTAGGAAAGGAATATATCTACCATATTTTATACTTTAAAGATACTGGAACTTCAACAAGTAGTTTATTTAAGAAGTCATTATATTCAAAAACTAAACTTAGAACTATATAATAATATTTTAATTGTTTATGTAAAGAGTTATAATAAAATATTGTACATATTTTCATCGCTACATGCTGAAATACAGAGCCAGCTACCTGGTATGTCTACCGTATTTTATACTATAAAGATATTGCAACTTCAACAAATAATTTATTTATTTATTTAGTTTATATATATAAAAACTAAACTAAGACCTATATAATAATATGGTAATATTTAATATTTGAGTTGTAATAAAATATTGTACATATTTTCATCGCTAAATGCTGATATATAAAACGTAAATAAAATTTGTGAATAAATATATCTATACCTACATTAGAGGAAACATCGGCTCAGTGACTATTTCTTGATATATCTACAATGATAAATTTTGCTTTATTGTTTAAATTAATTATTATAAATTAAAAATCGGCTTTGCTAATTTTGTCCTTTCGATCGATGAAAATGTTTGATGTTTTCTAAAGCACTAAACGAACGTTCACCACTTAAAACAGAAACGGCTAAAGTGCAAAATCTTTTTAAAGCGATGCAAATATTTTGGAAAAGTCTTCCTAATTTTCGAGCATAGATGACATTCAATAAGTTGTATGTAGTAAGAGGGGCTTCAAAATTTGCATCGTAAACGTGCTAACTTCAGTGAACACCTTATCAGATACATCAACGGAATACTTTTATGCAAAATTTTTTGCAGCTGCGTTGAGTTCATCTTCTTTCATATCATCAAACTGCCATAGAAATGAGAACGATTCGCTTATGTCATTCACTGCGGTGAATATTCTCTTCATTCTACAGATAACGCTGTCAAGTATGACGAAGGAGGTGTTTGTTTTGAATTCTTTTTCTTCTTTACTGCAATTTTCATCAATTTCTTCATATAGATCGTTTCCGTGTTTTTTCTTTTTGTTGCTGATGGTAAAACCTCTTTGACATTCTCTGAATTATCTGCAACAATTTTGCACAATCAGGCTTTCTATATTTCTAACTTCAGCGTCGATGGTGTCATTGATCTCTTGGAGAACCAAGTTTCTTTCATGGACTGACTAAAATATTTTAAATATTGGAGGTCATCAAAACGCACTCAAATTTGCTCAATTGCATCAAATGTTAAATTTTTACGGCATCGATTCTGGCAGACCATGGGTTTTGGATTTCAGAATTTCCCAACGTTGTGTGCTCTACTGAAAATATTTAAACATTATTGAACGACAGCATAAAAAGTTATTGCTCGAGAAGATTCAGCCGAGTCGACTGAAGCCAAATTCAGCGTGTGAGCATCACAGGGCGAAATAACTGCTTACTTATTTTGACGTTGGATGTAATGTAATTTTGCGCTTCGCTCATATAACTACCATTATCGTGCCCGTGTCTACTACAATCTTCCAATGGAATGTTTAAATTTCCCAAAGTTTTGCAAATTAAAGCGGCAATGGCTTTGCCGGTTTTAGCGTGACAATATACAAAAGGGAGAAAACGCTCCTCTATGTCTGTAGAATTTTTTCTCATCAGCGAGACGGATATAATGCCTACAATTAGGAAGAATACCCTGCAAATTTTTTTTTAGGGGAGTTTAAGGGGTTTTGTTGGGGTTTAATAATGTATGTAATGCAGGACCATACAGCTCCCTCCATCTTTAAATAAGCAATATTGGTGTGTTCTTTGGCAAGTATCTTACACAGCCTGGCGTTTCTTTGCAACTTTGTATCGATGTCCAGAAGGACTGTAATTTTCTTTCTTGATTGTGTTTTATTGTGTCGTGTTATCTTTATATGGTTGCCAAATTTAAGTCCTACAACTTTTTTCCGACTCTGTATCTAGCTCTTGAAAATTACAGATCTTATTATTATTTGCGCTTATTGCTAAGCTTTTAGTTGCTTTCCTAGTAAATTTACCCATGCTGTTCTTCTAGGATTTCAATATAAGAGGTAGGTACTGAATTTCTCGCTGAAGAGAATTCAGAAGTGATCGGACATATATGGCTCCTTAGCCACCCTCTAGTAGCGTGAGGTCTAAGGCTACCTCCCAAACCGAAAACCTTTCCGAACTTGATAATATGAATGCGGGCCTATCGCCTCAATTATATGGTATATATTTAAGTTGCTATTTAGAATATATTGTAAAAAGCGGGTATGCGATTTCAAGATGCACCGCTCTGGTTGTTAAGCAGGTGAACAATACTCCGTATCTTTTTTCGGTACTTCTCTTTAAAGTGTGCCAGAAGTGGACCAAAGTAGTCAACGCCTACGTAGGAAAACGGTCGACTACATGCCGAAGTACGGGATGGTGGCAGAGAGGCAATCATAGATGGTCGAGATTTGGATGTTCTGTTTTTACAATGTTGACAAATGCGTCAAATCTTATTAGCCACTGTGCGTAGTTTTATAATCCAATAGTATTGCCTTATTTCATTGACCACTGTTTCCAAATTGCCATGCCACATGGTGATTTGAGGGCAATAACACTTTATGTGGTCGCCCTGTTATCTTAACTCGACCATTTATTCTCAAAACGCCGTAGTCATCTAGATAGGGTGATAGCTTGAAAATATTGCTGGATTTGTCAATTGAATTTCCGGATTCTAAACATGCTATTGAGTCTCCAAAGTTGCAGTGTTGGGCCTTTTTCCACAGATAACGTTCCACTTTACAGAACTCGAATAACGCTTAGCCAGATCCGAACACAATATATTGCTCTAATGTCTTAATGGTTCTGGTACTACCTGAAGCTTTTCTGAGATGGGGTGATGAAAACCCGTAAACTGTGGACGCAGTTCTTCAGTTGCAATACATTGTAATTCGTCATACAAAAGCCACGGGTCAGGCGAAAGCTTCATCGAATAACCGTTCGCTAATACCGTTTGTGTATCTGACCAATAAACGAATTTTTCAACGTGTACAGAATGCGATTCGATAATATATTTGGCGAGACGAGCTCCTAGAAGAGCTGCTTTCAGTTCGAAACGAGGTATGGATATTAGCTTCAGAACCAAACTCAAAACCTCGCTCTTAGTAGGCCGCCATTAATGGAGAAATATGTCAGAATTTCTATACTTAACGTACATACGAAATGCGAAATTGTTAGTGAACGTAGTCCACCACATGCCTAAAACCTTCTCAGTAGGCAGTTCACGTTCAAGATCAAGAGATAGCTCATCAGGCGGATTTAGGGCACCTAATACCCGACTCGAGTTGGACAAAAAATTTCGTAAATGAAAGCCTCCAAGTGCATAAACATGACGCACGTCTTGAGCTAATAGCTTCCTCTTCGGTGTCAACACTTACCGACATATCGTCTACATAATGATTTTCGATTATGCATTTTGAAGCACAAGGAAATTCCTTTTTAAAATCTTATGCATTCTTATTTTTTACGTACTGAGCGCAGCTTGGCGAACATGTGGCCCCAAACGTCATCACTGTCACCGTCAATGTAGTGGGCTCATTGCCGTTTGGTTCATACCAAAAAAAGCGTAGGAAGTTTTGGTCTTCTTGTCGTATATGAACTTAGTGAAAAATTTCAGCTATACCGGCTATTATAGCAATTTTTTTGTCGAAACTTAAAGAGGACTGTTCTTCAGAGTGTAGAGGGGTTGTAAGGTCTGGACCTTTCAGCAGCATGCTGTTTAGGGACACTCCATTTACCTTAGCAACTGCGTCCCAGACTAATCTAACCTTTCCTGGTTTATTGGGATATGTTGCTGCAAAAATTGACAAATATCAATAGTTTTTGACGGCAGAATTAAAGGGTGTCAAACGTCTCATGTACCCTTTTTGCATATAATCGTGGATCTTTTTGTGCAGCGTTTCTGCCAGGCCGTTGTCTCGCTGCATTATTTTCCTTAAACATTTCGCCCGAAATAAGGCCATTGACAGGCTATCGGGTATTTCAATGTCCGTATGCTTCCACAATAAACTGGTCTCGATTTGTAGTTGCTCCAAAGCGACCTCATCCTCCTTAAGTATTCATTCAACAGGTTTGGTTGACACACCTAAGTTGTGGAGGCAAATGTACGTTTTGGTAATTTCAAGCAGTTCAGCCTGGGCAGAGCAATCACAGATGTGGTAAACGTGGTGTATAGGATCGGTGCCGGCTTTAGGCATCAACCCTTTCAATGTCCATCCCAATTTAGACTTCTCGGCAATTGGACCATTTTCTCCTCGTCGACATAGCTCGTTTTCTGGGCCCCCCGTTAGATGACCTCGACGACAACCAAACTGAAACTTACCACCCAAGCGCGGACTAGACAACCGTTACAACAACATCTCCTCTATCTTGACTTATGTAACATCCGATAATTATGCATTGTACATGCATTTTTCCAACATAGACATTAATCTTACAACCATACAACCGAAAACATCCCAAAATTTCTGTAAAATCTCAGAGGCTATTGTATTTGCATGAAAACTTCAACTTAAATGATTCGGGCTCAAATACCGTTGTTGTGTTAGTAGAGCTTTCACAAAACTCTACAAGTAGTGTATTTCGAAAAAATTACACTTTCTTAGATTTAG